CAGCCAGATGCAAAGCCTGACCGTCGACATCGCAAGCTACCGTAGGACGTTCGGCATGCCTGGCAAGATTGCCCCCGCGGACCTTACCTGTCGCGCCGGGTGGAAGGACCTCCCCTCCTCCTTATCCTTTTCACTCTCATCCTCCTCATCCTCCTCGTCTCCCTCATCCTCATCCTGCAGTCAGGAGTCCGCGGGGAAGGTCTTCAGGCTGCTGGAGGACTTAGGGGCGGCATCAAGGTCCGAGGGCATCGGCCGGGCGGAACCCGACGACGACTCGGGCGGTCGGGTCGGGCGGGCCCCTCGGGCGGCCAGGGAGGGGAGGGGAGGTGATGTCCAGGAGCCTTGGGCGGCGTCGGGGTTCGGGGTTCCATCGCTCAGGATATCGTGTTCGCCTCGGAGTACGATGGCTACCTCAAGAAGAACCTTGTCTTCAGGAGGAGCCCCCAAGAGATGCTCGCGCACCCCCCGTTCAGCGACATCTTGGCTTCGGCGGACGAGAGCTACCGGAACGAGATCGGGGCGGTTCCCGAGGCCGCAGAAGTGACGACGGTCGTGGTCGAGGACGAGCCCATCGTCCACTGCGTGGAATCGGAGCACATCCCGCTCGTGAGCAGCACCAACGAGGAGATCCACATCGCGACTGTCGACGAGGCCACCATCTCGAAACTCAAGCGCCTGAAGAAAGACGTGTTCCAGCGGGTCCGCACCCAGGTGCAGTTGCGCGCGCCTCAGTCGCCGCCGGGCGAGGGGGCGCCAGGTTTACCTTGAGATCGGCGGTTGCAGCTCGACGCGGTTTGCCCGCCGCGATCGGGGTGCGAGGCGATCGGCCGATGTCTAATCCTCCGCCTCATCCCTCCTACTCGCCTCCCCTTTCCCTCCAGCGATGCCCCTCTCCCCCCGTCCCCTCTTCCTCGCTTTTTTTTTTCTTCTCTGGGCGCTTCGCGCATCCCCAAGCCCGACAGCCCATCCAACAACGATGCCCAGGCGAGTTGAGGTGTTGTTGTGAGAAGTTGTAGGAAGTCTCTTGGAGCCATCTTGGAGCTATCTTGGGGTCCTCTTGGGGCCCTCTTGGGGGCCGCTTCGGGCTCTTTTGGGGCCATCTCGGGGCCCTTTGGGGTCTCAGAGACCCTTTTGGAGCCATCTTGGGCGATCTTGGCAGAAGGGGAGGAGGGGCTGTGGAAGCCCAGAGGGCTGGTGGGTTTGGCGGCGGAGACTCAGGTTTCCCGAGCCTGCCTCCGAGACCGAGCTGGCGACGCTCATCAGGGAGAGCAGCGCCTATCACGAGGGATTTAAACCGCAGGTGTCGAAGACGAAGAAGTACATCGGTGTGTTCTACGACCAGAAGGTCGCCGGCCAAGGCGACGCGCGGCCGAACGTGAGGCCGCCCTACTTGAGGAACGCGCACATGGAGAAGCACATCTGCGCGGCCATCAAGGCGGCCCCGGATGCTGCGGATCCTGAGGAGCAGGAGTGCTATCGTCAGCGCGTTGCCCTGGGCCCTGGCCGGGCGCTCGCCCTGCCCGCCTTGGGGCAAGGCGTTCGCCTGGGGGGCCAAGGGCAGGTGCGGGGGGATAGCCGCACCAGGATAATGCTCCGAAGCACTTGCCCGCGGAGCTCGCGTTCTTCGTGTGCGACGGGGGGGGGGGGGGGCTGGGCAGGAGACGACGCTCATGAACAAGTTCGTCGACGAGAGCAACAAGCCCTACCACAAGTCCAAGCACACAGTGACGGTCATCTACTCGGAGGAAAGCGTGGTGAACCGCCTCAAGATCAAGCGCAGAACCACGGCTGGCGCGCTCCAGGTCGAGAAGATGTACATCGTCACCGGCAAGGCGATCGAGATCGAGGACAGGGCCAGGCTCGCGTTGAGCGGCACCACTGTCGGGGAGCACATCAGTTGCGCCTGGAGGTCCTGGAGCGACCCGAGCCATTGGACGATGAAGCGCAAGCACAAGGCGACCATCATCACGAAGAAGGACACCATTGCGAACGGTGGCCGCGGACCCGGTCACGACGAGGAGGAGGAGCGCAAGGCGGAGAAGGAGGAGGCCAAGGCCATCACGCCGGAGAGCGAAGAGCAGGTGTTCTGGTGGGCACCGCCGCCCACCCTGCAGGATGAATGGACCCACAACTTCAACCTTCGCGCGGTGGTCGACCTCACTCCCGGGGATGGCGCCAGGGCGATGTGCTGCATAAAAAATAAGATCCCATACGTGGCCATCTGCTTCAACCAGGAGAACGTCGAAGCCTTGTACGACCATCTCTTCAAGGAGACCATGAAGGAATCGTTGAACGAGGGCTGCAAGCAGCTCTACTCCTCGGAGCTGGCGGCCGTCGTCGTCGACAGCCAGAAGGCTAAGACCGAGGAGAGCGGCACGGACACGGCCGACAAGAAGAAGGGCGCGAAGAACAAGACCGGCAGCAGCGGCGGTAGCAAGGACGGCGGCAAGGGCGGCGGTGGCAGCGGCGCCAGCGGCGGTGGCAGCAAGGACCCTATGGACCGCTCGGCACTGGTGGACCGCATCCGCGCGCTGGCTGGCGGCCCCGCTGCCAAAAGGCGCAAGAAGGAGAAGGCTGAGGATGACGCCGCTGAGGGTGAAGATGGTGCGGACTCCGTCTCCGACGTCGAAGAGGAGGTGTGATGGTGTTGAGCGGTGGTGGGCGAGTCTGGCTAGCGGCGGTAGTGAGCGTTCTCGCTGAGGGCCTGGCCGAGCGCGCGCCGCCGGGAGGAGGGGGAGGAGAAGGAGGAGGAGGAGGAGGAGGAGGAGGAAACGACGCTCGTCTGCAGTCCGAGGCGCCCCGTGGCCGATCAGCGAGGCCGCGGGCGCTTCCATTTGATAATGGCGCCGCTGCCAGCAGCACAATGGCACACTGCAGGGTCTTGGAGTGTGACCGTGCCTGCTGGCAGCCCGCGCCGCTTCGGGGGCCAGGGCGAGTTGCGCGCCGCTGGCTGTGACGTTTCGCAGCAATGACGTGCCGCTTGGGTGACGTCACTACCCTCCTCATCCTCCTCGTCCTCCTGCTCATCCTCGTCGTCGTCGTCCTCATCGTCATCTCCCTCCTTGCAGTCGCTCGTGCTGCCTGGTCGTCCGCTCCCCTCCCCTCCCGCCCCTCCCACGGTCTTCGTCGTCGTCGTCGCCGCCCCCTCCCCTCCGGCCCGCCTGCCAGGAGGCGCGCCGAGAGCTTCGGCGCGGCGCCTCGCGCGCGCCGCGCGCCCGCCGGGGGGGAGGGCGAGGGGGGGGATGGCGAGGATGAAGGAGGGTGAGGAGGAGATGGGCGGCGACGACGCACGCACACGACGACGATGACGACGACGGTGGCGACGGCGACGACTCGTGACGATGACGACCGCGACGACGGCGGCGGCGACGGCGGCGGCGGCGGCGAGGACCCCAGGGCCTCGGGCGGCGCCGCCCGAGGCCCTGGTCCTCGCGCCCTGCCGATGGGACTCCCAGTGGCCCCTGTAACGATCGATACCGCTGCTCGTTCTGCTGGAGAGCCTTCGTCGCCACGGCTGGATTCGCGTCGAAATTCTGGCCAGAACGCGACCTGGGAGACTAATTGGTGTTCCATCGGCAGGGGGGGGACGAGAGTCGCATCCTGAAGAGCCCAAGAGGATGCGAGGATATTCAGGAGGAGGATGAGGAACATTCGCCTGAACAGTCGGAGGACAGGTCCGAGGGAGAAGGGAGACTTCGACGCCCACGTCTTCGGCGCTAGCACTCGAGCGCACTCGCACTCGCACGACGGGCCTCACTTGTGGGCCTTGGGCTTGGCCCTCGCGGCGGCCTTGTTGGGCTTGGCCTTCGGCTTCACCCTCGCGGCGGCCGTGGGCTTGGCCTTCGACTTCTTCTTCGGCATGGCCTTCGGCTTCTTCTTCTTCGGCATGGCCTTCGACTTCTTCTTCGGCATGGCCTTCGTCTTCGTCTTCGGATCGATGTGCTCGTCGAGGGGGTCGTCGAGGGGGCTCGCCTCGGCCTCGATCAAGCTGGAGGGGGGTGGCGTCCAGCGCCACTTTTCTTCCACCTGATCGCCGTCCCAGTTCAAACCGACGAGGGCCCCACGCCATCCCTCGCGCATGTCCCTCCCACGCCACCTTTTCATCTCGACGAACGATTTCGGCGATGTCTTCTCTTGGGCAGCCTCGGCCTCGGCTGCGGCCTTGCCGCCGCCGCCGTTCGGCATGACTGTCGCGCGGGCTGTTGGGCGCTTCGGGCTTGGGCTGTCGGGCGCGGCTGTAGGCTTGAGCCAAAACCGCTACGGATGGTTCCTGACACCGCGTCGATCGTTCAAGGCGTCGGCGTTCACCTGGATGTTGCGATGAAGTCGGTGTTGGATCCTGACACTGCGTCGATCGTTCAACCTTGGACGACCGGCGGCTTTCCGAGTTCACCCTCGAACGCCCGCGCTGGGGTCGCCACCGCGCGGCCGCCTGTCGAAACGCCTAGGCCCACGCTGGCCAGCATGTTCAGAACATCTCACGTTTCCTCCTCCACCTCATCCTCCATTCATTCCATTGCCGTTTTGGCTCAAATCGTATCCTGCGGGCCGCCCCTTGGCCATCCCGCGGGCCGCCCCCTTCGGCCCAACTTCATATGGTGGCGTGCCCACTTCGAAGCACTGGAGATTGCGTGACTCTGTGCGCTGGAGATTGCGCTTCGGGAGATTGTGGCTGTCGACCTGATCTCGGAGCGCAAGCCGTTGGAGAATGGCACGCGCCGCGGTCAAAGTTGGCGTCGATCTTGGCGACGTCATGAGCACCAGGGACACCGGTGATGACAAGAAGCCAGAGGGCGACGACATCTACGTGGCAGTAACGCGAGGTTTTTTTCGCGTTCGCCTTGTTGTTCGGCATGGTGCATGGGCTGGAGAACCTGTACATCGTGAGTCGCACCCAACGTGGCTCGTGGTGGTCGTACCACAAGAAGCACGGTCACGTTGAGGCGTGGCCCGTGCGCTTCATCAAGCAGACAGGGCTCGTCGAGATGGGCATGCCGCTGGACCACCTACATCTGTGCGAGCGGAAGAGTGGCGAGAAGGGCAAGGGCGCTATCGCTTCCAGACTGGGACTCACGCACCACATCGACAACGACATCGAATGCCTTTGGTCGATGGTGCACGACGATGACAACATGTGGGCGAACATCGTCGAAGAGAAGGGCTTCTTGGTGATGTTCGCTGAACTGAGGCCAGTCATGAATAACAAGTGGATGACAAAAAGCTTGCGCGAGTGCATGTGCGAAGCTGGCTCGTGGCAAGAAGTCGCCCGTCTCTTTGAGCTGCCGCGTGTGGACGATTCTGGCGTGTGGGACTGGCTCGATCAGCAAGGCCCACCGCATCGCCGATATTCTGGCACAACGGTGGAGCGCGTCCGACAGGAGCTGGACAAATGGCTAGCATCATCTACAAGGCCTTTAACGTCCACGTGGGGTTCGCCACCGATTGTCCCCCGGCGTGAACGCGATGATGACGATGATGAGTGGCGTCGTCAAGAAGCACGCCGTCTCGAAATCAAATTCCGAGAAGAACTGGCAGCCGCAGACGCTAAAGCGCAACGCGATGCGGAGGAGCTCCGACAGCAAGAAAAAGCAGAAGAACGAGCTGAGCAAGTTCGACAACATGCACAACGCATCCGACAGCAAGAAAAAGCAGAAGAACGAGCTGAGCAAGTTCGACAACATGAAAAAACGCATCCGACAGCAAGAAGAAGCAGAAGAACGAGCTGAGCAAGTTCGACAACATGAAGAACGCATCCGACAGCAAGAAGAAGCAGAAGAACGAGCTGCTGAGCAAGTTCTACAACATGCACAACGCATCCGACAGCAAGAAGAAGCAGAAAAACGAGCTGAGCAAGTTCGACAACATGAAGAACGCGTCCGACAGCAAGAAGAAGCAGAAGAACGAGCTGCTGGGCAAGTTCGACAACATGAAGAACGCATTGCAGCTCTTCGCGCTGAGGAGGATCGACTTCGCGCAACACAGGAACGGCTACAGCAGCAGGTGCTAGTCAGCGACGCTCTACGACAACGTCGAGAACAGGACGAGGCGCTTCACAACAACTTCCGCGCGTTGGAGGCCCAGGTGCAGGGTATGGCAGAAGAACTTTCACGCCGCAGTGGTAGCTGGAAGCCGTGGAGCACGTGGGCCAGCAACGAGCGGTGCAACGACGGGTGGAACTACAAGAAGTACAAGAGGGCTATGGAGCACGCCATGCGGATCCGCCCGAGTCCAGCATGTGTGCGCCGCGTGGTAACCCCTATGTGCGCATCTTGTCACATCAATCAGCCTGGTGTGTACTGTCCATATTCTTTGCGCTCCCCATGTTGCCAGAGCGCTTCGTGGGCGGGGCGGGCCAGCAGCTCCAGCGCCAACGCCAACGAGTGCTGGCAACACGCTTTGTGATTAACATTGGCTGATTCGGCCATCGCGTGCAGAAAAACGGCATCCTTTCCTCCACCTCCCCGCTTCCCCCCTCTCTGATGATGAGCCTCCGGGGGGGAGCTGAATTAAGTACTTCCCCCACCTTGTTTGAGCCATGCGGCGCCTACAACGGCCCCAAGAGACCTCTCAGACCCCCTTTCCCAAAGGAGCCCCAAGAGCTTACTCCTCCTCGGCCCCCGTGGGAGGAGGAGGAGGAAGGGGGGGGGGGCGGACGGATGAGGAGAAGGAGGAGGAGAGAAGAGGACGACGATGCGATTTTTCGGCGAAAGCCGACGCCGTTGCCCTGGCTGTTGAATTACCTGAATCATGTCTGAACGAACTACTCCTCCTCCTCATCCTCCTCCTCGCCGCCTCCTCCGGAACCGTCTGGCGCCAGGGCTATTGCGCTGCTGCTGTTGGAGCGCTGCGCTGGGAGCAGAGGAACTCTTCGGAGGCGAATTGTGACCTCGAGCCTATTGGCACCAAAGTACCAACGCTTCCGGAGACGTAGGCCGGGCACCTATCGCACGGCACATGAGACCCCGGCTGAGCGTACCAGAGCGGCTCACACCTCTTCAGGCTGGCCACGCTCCACTTCTGCTCGAGAGTCGGGCCCTTGCCGTCGCCTGTCTGAATACCGTCGCTCCACGAGACGCTCCGCTTCTTCTAGGAAACGCCCGCAGAGCTCGAAGTGGCGTCGGTTTTCCGCTTCTTGAGCTTCGACGGGCCTGGCGGGCCCGCCAGCGCGCTCGACGGCGGAGGCTGCGCGGGCCGCTGATTGTCGCACATGATGCTGGGGTACACCAGCGTGCCCGCGAGCGCCATCTCCCCGAACTTGTAGTGCTTCTCCTTCAACGTTTCGGTGATGCCGTACAAGTTCTCGAGGTGCTTGAGCGTGGCCTGTATCTCTTCGCGCGACTCCTTGACACTCGGCCACGTACGGCGCCACAACTGGAAGCGCTCCTCGCTGTTGAAGACCTCCTTCATCATGCCCATCTTGATGGACACGAACTCAGCGCCGAGGTGCTGGAGGTCGTCGCGCAGGAGCTTGTAGGCAAGGATCTGCGCCGGGCCCTGGGACTGCGGGCGCCCGCTGCCCGCTGGCGCCGCGCGCGCCGGTGGCGCCGATGGCGCCGG